GAGACAGGGTTTCACCGTGTTAGCCAGGATGGTCTCAATCTCCTGACCTCGTGATCCGCCCACCTCGGCCTCCCAAAGTGCTGGGATCACAGGCGTGAGTCACTGTGCCTGACCGATTGTCAGTATCTTGATGAGATCTTTCTCATCATTGCTTTCCAATCCTTAATCTTCTCTTTTTTCTTTTTGGAGACAGAGTTTTACTTTGTCACTGAGGCTGGAGTGCAATGGCGTGATCATAGCTCACTGTAACCTTGAACCCCTGGTCTCTAGTGATCCTCCCATCTCAGCCTCTGGAGTAGTTTAGACTACAGGGGCATGCCACCACACCCAACTCCTTTTCATTATTTTGTAGAGACAGGACCTTGCTATAGTGCCAGGCTGGTCTCAAACTCCTGGCCTCAAGTGATCTTCCTGCCTTGGCCTCCCAAAGTGTTGGAATTACAGGCTTGGGCCACTGTACCCAGCCCTGATCTTCTTCTAAGGCCATTTTCTTCTGAAAATGAGGAGGGTCACATAGAGAATGGTATCTCTGGTGAAGTTCTGTGTGTGTTGGGAAGAAGAGGCCAGCTGCTGTGATGCTCGTCTAGTTAACCACATCTCATGTCTTCCAAGTACATTTCTTAAACAAACACCACTGCTCCTTTCCTCCAGCATGTCTGCACAGGTAATTCCAGCCCAGTCAGTGTTAATGGGCCCCATATCAGGAATATCTTCAAGCCATGCCCTGATCAGGAGTGTTGCAATTGAACAGCTTGAAAATCCATGAGATGCAGGCTACCCTAGACTGTTTTTTCTCCTCCTGGTTATTTTCACCGTGCTGATCTGATTTCCAACCTTCGCTTTGACCTTCCCTCTTTCTTCCTCCCCAGGCCTACTTTGGCTGTTTCTTCCCTTCCCTTTTCATTTTCATTGATTTCCATTGAAGAGAGGTGGTTGTTGAGCAACTGCTTCTTTTGTTTTGTTTTGTTTTTGAGATGGGGATTTGCTCTGCCATTCAGGCTGGAGTGCAGAGGCATGATCATGGCTTACTGCATCCCTGACCTCTTAGGCTCAGATGATCTCCCAATTCAGCCTCCCAAATAGCTGAAACTACAGGTGCGCATCACATACCTGGCTCAGTTTTTATTTTTTTCCATAGAGGAGGTCTCACTATGTTGCCGGGGCTGGGCTCAAATTTCTGGGCTCAAGCAATTCTCCTACCTTGGCCTCCCCAAGTGCTGGGATTACAGGCATGAGCCACTGCACCTGGTGAGCAATTGCATTTTCATAATGTCATGGTTAATAAAGAACATGATGGCCAGGTGCGGTGGCTCATGCCTGTAATCCCAGCACTTTGGGAGGCTGAATTGGGCAGATCACAAGGTCAGGAGTTTGAGAACAGCCTGGCCAAAATGGTGAAACCCCATCTCTACTAAAAATACAAAAATTAGCTGGGCATGGTGGTGGGTACCTATAATTCCAGCTACTAGGGAGGCTGAGGCAGAAGAATTGCTTGAACCCAGGAGGCAGAAGATGCACTGAGCAGAGATTGTGCCATTGCACTCCAGCCTGGGCAACAGAGCAAGACTCTGTCTCAGTAAAATAAAATAAAATAAAATAAAATGAAATAAAATAAAATAAATAAAATAAAGTAACATGAGATGTGGAGTCAAACAGATGTAGGTTTGAATTTTAGCTTTACCACTTACTTACTGTTTGGCCATGTAACCAAAGGAATATTAAACTTTCTGAACCTCCCTTTTCATATCCTCATCTGGGGATAAGACCATTTTTCTTGCACAGTTGTAGGGAGAATGAGATGGTAACGTATGCCTGTAACCCACTGTTTATGGTGGGAGGCCAAAAATGGCAGCTTGCTTTCTTCTTACCTCGATAGATTTCTTTAATCCTGGCATAATCTGTCTTCACATTCTTTTAGTTTCTAAAACTGGCCAAGCTTATCCTGGCTTTACAGCCTTGGCGAATGTTATATGTCATTCTCTTAAACCCTAGAGAGCTTCTATTCTTTTTGCTTAATTGTATCTTCTCTTACCAATCCGCAAGTCTAAGTTTAAACATCACTTTTCCGAAGGGGCCCATTGTGTCCCTCCAGTGTCAGCTATAGCTCCCACCCCTCTCACCACACTTGGCTTTCAAAGGATTGCCATGTTAGCTTACTGTGAGAGGTTACTTCTTTTTCTCCCCTATTGGCCTGTAAGCTTCAGGGCCCATTGTGTCCCCACTGACTAGTACAGTGACTGACTGCCACATAGTTGGTATCCTAATATTTCTTGGACACATGGTTTTTCTTTTTTTTTTTCTTTTGAGACAGTCTCGCTCTGTCACCCGGGTTGGAGTACAGTGGCATAATCTTGGCTCACTGCAAACTCTGCCTCCTGGGTTCAAGTGATTCTCCTGCCTCAGCCTCCCGAGTAGCTGGGATTACAGGTGCATGCCATTGTGCCCGCCTAATTTTTGTATTTTTAGTAGAGATGGGGTTTCACCATGTTGGCCAGGCTGGTCTTGAACTCCTGACCTCAAGTGATCCACCCACCTTGGCCTCCCAAACTGCTGCAATTACAGACATGAGCCACCACACCTAGGTACAGTATATTTAATGATCCTGGTTCCCTCCAAATCATTAGGAGAAGTGAAAACATATTTCCAGATGCCCCACAGGGAGTGGTACAGTTCCAGTTGAAAAATTATGGATCTTTTAAACCTTGGGTACTTCACATGAATGTTATAACCATTCAAGAAGAGAAAATTACATGAAACTCGGAAGCTAGGTGAACTCCCATCCCCCTCCTAGTCCCAGCACACTATTCTTGCCAAGGCTTCTGATATTCAAAAGCAAAAGGAAATAGAATGTGTTTGTGCCTGTCTTAATGTTAAGAAGAGCAATCAGTTAAGTATTGCCAAAATGGATCTTTCGCATACTTCCTATTTTCTTTTGCAGAGGTGACAGATTCTCCCTGAATCATCAAAGGCAGAAAAGGATGAAAGTGGTGTAAAGACACTCTGATGGTGGGCTCAGATTCCAGTCTGAGATTAATCTCAGATGCACTTCTTCCAAAGAGAATCCAGGTGAAGCCCACAGGTCCATATATCTGATAGGGCTGAATTTTGAAAGGGCTTCTCAAGGGCATTGGAGAAGAGCATTTCATAATTCACATTATCACACTGCCCCTGAACAATTCAAAATGGGGAAGGATCAATAGATACGTACAGTGCCACTGATCAATACTTAGTTTATTATGGTTATCTGTGATTTTCACAAGTATATTCACTAGTATAAGACATTTTATTGACCACAAAACAATTTAAGAAATGTACTTGATCCACTAGAAATAAATACTGTACTTGATCCACTAGCAATCAATAATTCAGCCCAGTGGACAACACCTGAGACTGGGTAGTTTCCTAGGTAAGGGTTATTTTGACCTGTGCTTGGATTGAGGCCTGACTTAGCCCTTCTGCCACTAGTAAATGAAAGAAAATTACGACTGTTATCTTTAAGAAGTGACAATGAGCAAGAAGAACTGGGTTTAGCATGTATTCATTTGATTTTCATTAATCCATTTAAAAAGTTATGTTGACTACTTTCACTCTTCCTATGGAGAAGTTGTTCCTGGATAGCATTCATGGAATGAGGAATTCATAGTTTAGTATTTGGAGTTTGCCAACTCAGGATTTACTTCCTGTTTTTCTCCTGATAGTGGTAAATTACATGACCTTTCTAATTCTCAGATTCTCTCTCTGTAAAATGGAGATTAGCTAGCACTATATACTCCATTAGGCTGTTGTCGGGATTAAATGAGAAGATACGTATAAAGCACTTTTAAACACCAGCCTGGAGTACATTGAACTAGAATTCAACAAATGCCAACTTGTTTTTGCAGCAGGACATACTTTCTTTTTTCTACTCCAAAGTGGCACAAGGATGGGGGTGGAAGGCTTGGAGAGTAGTAGAAAAGACCCAGGGAGGTCCAGAGGAGGGGCATATGAAAAGACAGAAAGAGGGCATGGTGGCTCACACATGTAGTCCCAGCATTCTGGGAGTCTGAGGAGGGCAGATCAGTTGAGGTCAGGAGTTCAACACCAGCATGGCCAACATGGTGAAAACCCATCTCTACTAAAAATACAAAAGTTAGCCATGTATGGTGGTGCACACCTGTGATCTCAGCTACTGAGGAGGCTGAGGCAGGAGAATTGCTTGAACCCGGGAGGCAGAGGTTGTAGTGAGCTGAGATCGTGCCACTGCACTCCAGCCTAGGCAACACAGCCAGACTCCGTCTCAAAAAAAAAAAAAAATTGAGAAAAAAAAAAAAAAAAAAAGAACAAGAAGAAAAGAGAGAAACAGGACATAAGAGGCTCACTAAACTTTTGAGCTGAAAAAGGAGTTAAGTTTTTCATTACCTTCTGGGCTTTGTGTACATGTCAAAAGATTTTCTCTTTGGAAATGGACTGTGTCTCCATGCCCTGTGAGATAACAGAGGACAACTATTGGCTTGTCTTGACAAGCATGGATGAAGCACCTCCCTTGACATAACACCAAGTCAGTGCTTAGTAAAGGGTGGTCTGTAACGTGGGGCAAGGTTAGTACAGAAATTGAGAGCTGGTGTTTAGAAACTTTGATTGCAATTTGACAGAGTAGTTTTATGTCTGCTGAATCTAAAAATAAATAGGGATGTGTACTTTATGTTTTTTCAATTGTCTAATTTATCTTTTTCTGAATTAGCTTTTCTCCTCTAGTAATTTGCTTTCATTTTACTTTATAAAACTATAGGTACACAATGGATTGGAAATTTTAAAAATTGGTCTTTCACTACTGATAGTTTGAGAAGCACTACTCTAGGAAATAATCTAAACTTGCCTATTGTACTGAAGAAAGTCATTCTTCTAGTTCTGGAAGCTCTTTAAGGACTCACGTTTGTGGAAACTCTTTAGTCTGAGCCTTTGTTCCTAAGAACAGACCAAACTAATAGTTTAAAACAATTCTGAAATCTTTATTTCTTATAATATTTAAGTTTTTGTGAATACAAGGAAGAATTTTGAAAAATTTTCTCAAATGTTGAAAAATAGACAAATATCAAGGAAGGTGAGGCAATTTAAAAAATCCACCTTGCTAAATAAACATACATCTTTATGAGGTAGTTCAGTATGTCTTGATACAGAGGCCTAAGATATATTAGGCAAAAAACAAAACAAACAAACAAAAAACTAAGTTGTAAAACTGTACTTGTAATATGCTGGACTTTTAAAAAGTTGCTATTTGCATAAAAAAATCCAAACAAATATACAGTAAATTAACTATCATATCTGAGAGTTAGTCTAATGGGCACGATTATGTTTTTGTTATGTACTATTTTGGTTTTGCATTTAAAATTTTTACCATGAGTATATGGTATTTTGTAATAAAAAAGAGGAAACTTACATGTTGAATAATGTACTTTTGTCACTTTTTGGCTTTTAATAAATAATGTAGTTTAATTGGTTTAACACCAATGTGGTTGAGAAATGTTTTTCAAAAGAGACGAAGAAATCCATGCAATAGGATTGCTGAGCTTCCATTTCTTTCTTCCTTTTTTTTCCCCCTCTTGAGACAAGGTCTGGCTCTATTGCCCAGGCTGGAATGCAGTGACATGATCCTGGCTCGCTGCAACCTCCGCCTCCTAGGCTCAAGCCATCCTCACAGCTCAGTCTCCCAAGTAGCTAAGATTACAGGCACACATCACCACAACTGGCTAATATTTGTATTTTCATAGAGATGGGGTTTCACCATGTTGCCCAGGCTGGTCTTGAACTCTTGAGCTCAAGCAATCCTCCCACCTCGGCCTCCCAAAGTGCTGGGATTACAGGTGTGAGCCACCATGCCTGGCCCTGAGCTTCCATTTCTATACCATCTTTTCCTCTTTGGGAGCCAAGTAATACTTGCCCTTTCAAGGCATACTTGCAATTGTAATCATACCATTTCTGGAACAGAAAAATGTTATTTTATGCAAGATACATGTATGGAAATATTAAGGTCTCCCTATATTTCATTTCCACTCCCTTCTCTGCATTATGTAGGATTAAAGGATGTCAGAGAACTAATTTCTTGAATTTAGAAGACCTGTTTGCCAGTCTGTGAAATGAGTATAAATTACCTGCTACAAATAAACAACATTCCCAAGATGAAAAAACCTAAAAATTCTCATCAGTCATCCTCAGTGAGACAAACTACTGTATTTCATCAATTCTAAGGCAACTTTATTGTAAGACACAGCATTATTTTTTAATGTATTATTAAGAAAAAACTGCCAATTCAAGTAGAATATGCCGTCAATCAAAAGATGAACCCTGTTTTCAAATGTAAATATTTAAAAATGTACAACCTGGAATTAATAAAATATGGTAATACTATAACTAAAAATCCGAAATTTTGCCTAGTATGATTACTTGAAGTAGAACACTGCGACCTGCTTCACATGAAGCCCTGACATAAATGGAAGAATACGTAAACATTTTCAGTAGCACACCTTTCGTTTATTGACCTATGTAAAAAAATAATAGGTCTTGAAAAGTCAGAACAATAAAAGAATATGCAAAAGGGTTATTTCTGTTTCTAGAAGGCTATACAAATATGCAAAAAAGGAATAAGTTATTTTTTTGCTTGTTTTTCCAAAATTTTTCCCCAAACTTCATTTCTAATTATACAAATGACTAAGGACCAGTTTAACAAATCATTTTTATGTATATATTACATGCTTTGGAATATAGATAGAAAATGTTCCAAAAAAGTTGTTCAGAAACTTTTCTATTCACAATATGAACAAGAAACTTGTATAAAAGAGGGGGGAAAGGAGCACCTTTTATGGAATTTTGAAACAAAGATGACAAAAAAGATCAAACTGGAATATGGAAATAATTTGCTTTAAAAAACAAACAAACAAAACCCTACAATAAACCATAGCTAATTAGTTCTTCCCAGGAAAGTATGAGGTAGTTTTAGCCTCATAATTAAATCCACTGCAGCTTGGAGTTTTTTGTCGTTGTTGCTGTTGTTGTTTTTTAACGTTAACCTTGTTTTTGTCACTTGGTGACTTGGAACTACTTGTGGAATCCAGACTTGTTTAATTTTCTAATGTTCACCATTTTAAGGCACGCAATTCATCTAAAATGACGTGGCTTTTTTTTTTTTCTTCTGTTGTTTTGGATGCCTTCTGTATCATCTTAAAATACTTTTACAAACTGATAATTATAAAAACTTTCCATATTAAGTCTGCCACTTCAAATGACAGCCGAGTTGGAGAATTACCAGCCAGAACAATAGCTCATCATGCAATTAGTGGAGAAAGGAAAAAGGAGCTCAATGATATTGTACCTTAGAACATTCTCCAAGCAGACTTTGTCAATTATTCAGTGGGCTGCTTCATTTTCCCCAATCTGCTACCATAAGTTATATTACAGGATGCTATGGTAATAAGTTTTTCCAGAACCCATTTTATGGTACTTATGAAAAACACCGCTCTTTATAATATCCTAAAAAACATTTACACTCATTCAGAACTTCATGAAAATCCAGCTTCAAGTAATTTTCCAATACTGTATAAATTGTCCATGTCTGTGTACAAAGAGCATGTTATTCTTCGTCAGCTCGCGAATTCAAACTCTGTGAGGTGAGCAATGACTCCGGAGCTTCTGGTTCCCTTTCTCTCATCCTGCTGAATTGTGCTCTGAGATTTCCCCTGTCTTTATTGCCATGGGACATCCTGAACGCCCTTTCATGGTTTTGAGGTTTGCCTTTAACATCTTTTATTCCCTTAAAAAGTGCTTGCTATTGATGAAGGCTTCACACTGAGTCCTCTCTTGGCAGTACTTCAACACGTGGGCAGACCCTGCAGTTAGGTTAGTGCCTAGAGTTTGAAAGGCCAAATCCTCCTTCAGGGGCTTTGTGGGGCTTCATGTGTGATTCACTGATTCACTTCCAGGGCAACTAAGTCTTCTCTTCAACCTATGATGTCTTTAGGTTTCTAAAACGAACATCCTCTCGGAAGACGAATACGATTTGCAAGGCACACTAGTGTGAGAACGCAGTGCTTGGTCAAGAGGTCCAACTGCAGTTCAGACTAATGTTCCAGGCTTTGAATCTTCATGCCAAAAGAGTCTCTGCTCACTACTCTCCAGGCTGTCTTCCAGCCGGTTTCCATCTGTACCATCCAGTTGACTGATTTCTGTGTATTGTCTGTTAAAGAAAACCAGAAAAGTTACTACTTGTGGCCATAATTTTGTCCCCACAGCACAAAGACTACTACATTTAAAGAAGTTAGTAGGAAGCACTATTAAGAAAAATTTCCCAAAATGTAGAGATAAGGCAAAGGAGAAGGATGACTGCATGTTCTTTCAGTGTCAAACCGGAGCATTGTTTAACAGGCCCATAAAAAAGATTATTTAATTCTCTGGAAAGACATACCTTTGTTTAACTTGTATTTACCATTGATCAGGACCCAGATTGTATTAAGTTACATGTTAACTTGTAGATTTTTGTCTCAAAGCAATACAAATAACTTGTCTAGTGAAAAAGATTCTGGTTACAGTTTTATTGCCCTATAGGACATTAACTGGTTTTTATCTCATTTAGTAGTCTTTTCCAACATTCTCTCTTTCAGTGTCTTGAATTCTCTTTGAACCAGCTTTATCATTCTGCTAGTTCACTTATCAATGAGTTCAATAAATCTTTGGCCCATGCCCATTTTTATTTGTGTGACAGTTATATTTTTAACTTTTTAAAAAGTATATTCTGACAATCACATTTTAAGTATTCTTCAAATTAAGGGAATATGCTAGATGCTTTCCTCAGGGACAAAATAATACATTCAGAAGGTGGCAGGGGCACATAGGAACATACATGATATCTCTAGGGCTTACGGGTCAGGCATAATTGGAAGTGACCCAGGAAACAGCATCACATTAAAAAATCATAGGCATATTCAGATGGCAATTCCAAGTGAGAGCATCCTATCATACAAACCATTCTGATAAGCAAAACCGCATTATTGTCACGGTAGGTTAAGAGAGATTAGATGGTTAGTTGATTTCTTTTTTATTTTACATTCCAAAGTATTTTAGTAAAGGTGATTTTTTTTTAAAAGTCTTTGGAAGAAGAGCTTTGGAAATAAAGGTTTTTAGTGTTTTCATGTAACATAAAAAACAAAGGCAGATTTCATAATTTCACACATCAGTCAGTGCAAGCAAAACTCCTGCTATGCAAGAAGCAACACACAGATTAGAGGTACTGTACTTACTACAGCTGGCTACACTTAGCAAAACAGAATTTACAACTGATCTCATTTCTGGAGACACAACCATTCTTGGGGATAGAAGCCCTTGGTTTTGCCTAGTAATAGAGTTAGATAGGAAAGGGGAAAGGGAATGGAAAATAGGAGGTGAAAGAAAAAAAGTTATTTGGAAATACAGTTTGCAGCAGTAGAGCCAAGAATTTCACTGTATTATGTACTAGGTAGCTTCAACATTTCTACTTTGGAAAGTTTATGCTAATGACAATTATGCCAATTGTACTAGAAAAAAAATTTATTGGTAAAAATTAGTACCTTTCTATAATTTTAAGACCTGGATACTCTAGGGCAAAGGATCTTTAAATCATATACACTTTATTTTAAAAAACAACAAAACACTAATATATTGCTATGCATTTCAAATCTTTGGCTTAAGGGAAAAATCTAGTTTTTCATTTTTATCTTAAAACCTAATTCCCTCTTATTTTAAAAATCATGTTTTCATAAAAACAATGTACAGAATTTTAGAGCAAATTTCTAAATCTTTATGAATGATTGTTACTATCCTTGCCTTGTTAATAGGTTAAGCTAAACTGATCAGACTGTATCCTAAAAAGAACCCTAAATAAACAAATGGATGGGAATAAGCACTTCCGTATCTCTGTGGCCATAAGAGCAAAGTGGCAAATCTTTCTGGAAAGCAAGAGCTTTAAAAAATACACTTTTCAATTTAATCCACTAACTCTAGTTATTGGAATGTATCCTATGAAAATAATCTGGGATTCAGACACATATTTTGGACAAAGATGTTAACAGCTGCAATACTGGGCTGGGCGCCGTGGTTCACTCCTGTAATCCTAGCACTTTGGGAGGCTGAGGAGGGCAGATCACGAGGTCAGGAGTTCAAGACCAGCCTGGCCAACATGGCAAAACCCCGTCTCTATTAAAAATACAAAAATTAGCCAGACATGGTGGTACGTGCCTGTAATCTCAGCTACTTGGGAGGCTTAGGCAGGAGAATCACTTGAACCTGGGTGGCAGAGGTTGCAGTGAGCTGAGATCACACCACTGTACTCCAACCCGGGCAACACAACAAGGCTCCATCTTGGGAAAGAAAAAAAGTAAAAATAGCTGCCGTACTTTAATAAGAAAAAGAAAAATCTAAAAGCCTCTCAAAAAAAAAAACTTCAAAAAATGAGGAGCTGCTAAGTAAATTAGGGTTCATTTGAGGGGAATATCATCTTAGTCATATAAAATAAGGTTTAAAGAGTTTTAAAACAAACGGGAACATGGTTATGTTATGATGTTAAGTTTTTTAAAACATGGAGATGTAGAATTTCATGTACAACATAAGATATAAAACTGTATGTACAATATCATTCCATGTTACATGGACAGAGAAAAATGGGGAAAATATGCCAAAATGTTAAGAGCTGCTATCTCTGGATGGTGGAATTATGGCTAATTTATTTCCTACTTATTTATCTCTTTATTATAAAATTTCCACCATGAGCTCATATATGCATACGCATACACAAACAAACAATAGGGATTTTTAAATAGCTTCTAATTTCCTGTATGTTATGCCCCCTCTGATCCCCTATCAAGCCATCTTGGGCTGTCTGATACATATGAGCAGACTTTGTAAAAACAGATTTTCTCTAAAAATGCTTAACACTCCCTGAGTCCAATGACAGTAGTGTTAAGGATATTAGAACTGCGTAATGCACCAAAAACTGTATTATCATTTCTGAGTCAACAAAAAGACAAGTAAAATTACACAAACATGAAAATAATTTGCAAATATATTATTAAAAAATGGTTAGAACTAAACTGAAAAGGTTTGGCCCAAATTTTAGACCAGTCATGTTGGTTCTTGCTCCTAACTCATTTTCAAACATTATTTACAGAAGTCCAAGCTATGTGACATCTTCTGAAGTATATTTTCATTACAATTCTATTTTGAGTATACCCTTTGTTTAACTGAGACAATTGGCTTAACATTTCAAGCCAAGAAAAACTCCCACTGAATGTGGAGGAAAAAAAAATAAGGCATTTGGGCCTGAATATTTCCAATTTGCTTGTAACAGTGAGTGCCTTGATAAGAAACCGCTAAATTCTCAAATTTACCAGCATAGAAACCTTTATAAGTTGTAGTCTGTATAAGTCTTCTGTGCCTGAAGCAATATAACTTAAAGAAATCAAAATTACACATTCTAAAAAAACAGAAAATGTCCTACTTCTTGGTACCATGGGTGTGGATTATCTTTTGTGGGAAAGTAAAAGGGACAAATGACCTCTTCAAACTTAATTCCTATGGATAACAAGAATTTTTTAAAAAAGCAATTCAGAGTCTGCAATTAAAAAAAAAATCAATTTTAACAAATTGCTCTTGTACATTTCCTCTAATGTTTACAAAGAACTACTTTTACAGACAAACAGGACAGCTGGCTGTGTCTGTTGCTTCATAACAAACATAGGATCAGATAAAAAAGGCAGCAAATGTTTGAAATCCAGCCTACCAACTGTCTAAGGAACCTTGGTACAAACAGCCTTTCCTGGAGTAGAGAGATTTTTCCTGCAAGGTTTCAAAAGAGACTTAAATGGACTTATCACTAATAGGATTTCAAGTACCATAATTTTTTTAAAAAGCTTCGGACTCAGAATTCAATGTACACACTAAAGAACAGAACGCGTTAGATATCTTAAAGGCCAGATATTTTTGGCTTTGGTGTCTGTGCAAGTAGTTCTTTGTAAACCTTAGAGGAAATATACAAGAATTCAATGTAATACTGAAGAACAGGGTCAAATTTGAATGAGTTAGATTAGGGGTTAGCAAACTTTTTCTTAAAGGCCAGACACTTTTTGGCTATGGTGGCCAGATATTTTTGGCTTTGGTGCAGCTACTGAGCTCTGCCCTCATAGTGCAAAAACAGCCATAGAGAACATGTAAGTGAATGAGTGTGGCTATTCTCCAATGAAACGTTATTTACCAAAACAGGTGGCAGCTGGATTTGGCCCACAGGCCATAGTTTGCCAACCCCTGAACTAGATTATCTGACGTTTGTAAATTAGGATCCTTGAATTCTTTTGAATTGGAACAGGCTCCTAGGATTTTCAAGCACCGCCTCCTCACCTGCTTGGAGAGGGTAAAGGATTATAGACATTGCCATAGCAGCTGGTGTAAGAAGAATGTGCTGGAGTCTCATAATCCGACAGCCCTATGGTTAACTGGGTCCTCCAGTTCCCAGAAGCATTTGTAGAAGACACTGGAAATAAAAATGGAAAAAGATAAAATTAATGGAGATATTAAAAGTGAAAAATTGTTAAGGTCATTCAGATGAACACTGCAATCAGCTTTGTCAGAGATTTAAGAGGGTTTGAAGTAACAGAGTTCCTATTCCAATTTAGTGAATTCCTGGCTATGTGACCTTAGGCAAGTAGTTTATCCTCTTTAAGCCTCAGTTTCCTCATGTATAGAGTAGGGATAATAATATTAATATATTCTGTATGGGTATGATGCCAGGATTAAAGTAATTATGAAAATCTTTAGCACTATACTTGATACAGAGTAAGCACTCAATAAATGATAACTATTAATATTATTATTGAGAATAAGATTAATTGAAAGATAAATTTGTCAATTCAAAAAATAATTTAGGTTGGGGTCAGGCACAGTGGCTCAAGCCTGTAATCCCAGCACTTTGGCAGGCCGAGGCGGGAGGACTACTTGAAGCTAAGAGTTCGAGACCAGCCTGGCCGATATGGTGAAACCCTGTCTCTACCAAAAAATACAAAAATTAGCCGGGCATGGTGGTGCATGGCTATAATCCCAGCAACTCAGGAGACTGAGACAGGAGAATTGCTTGAGCCCGGGAAGTGGAAATTGCAGTGAACCAAGATCACGCCACTGTACTCCAGCCTTGGTGACAGAGTGAGACTCTGTCTCAAAATAAATAAATAAATAAAAATAACAAAAATCATTTTAGGTCAGGCTCAGTGGCAAAAGTCTGTAATCCCAACACTTTGGGAAGTCAAGGTGGGAGGATCGCTTGAGCCCCTGAGTTCAAGGCCAGCCTCAGCAACATGGCAAAACCCCATCTCTGCAAAAAAATACAAAAATTAGCCTAGCGTGGTGGTGCACACCTGTAGTCCCAGCTACTTGGGTAGCTGACATGGGAGATCACTCAAGCCTGGGAAGTCAAGGCTACAGTGAGCCATGTTTGCACCACTGCACTCCAGCCTGGGCCACCAAGCGAGATCCTATCCCCAAAAAGAAAATAATAATAATACATAAATAATTTTTAAAATAACTGGAAAGACAAGCAAGAAAACAATTCTCATATATTGCGAGAATCTTCCCATTCATGCTATGGTGTTATAAAGGTGAGATGATGATTCTGGGTTTGTCAGAGGCCTTGGAGGAAATGTGTTCCATAAGTTGACGTATTGAGACTTGACTATTCTTCAGCCAAAGACAACACTGGCCACTAGCAAGATCGAGGCTATTTTTTGTCTTAAAAAAGTGTGTGTATGGGGCGTGGGGTCGGGGAGGTGAGGTGGTAACTAGCACAGGAAGGAATTCAGGAAGAAGGGATTTAGTTCTACAGAGGAACTGAACTGGAACAAGACAAGGGCATAATTTGGGAGCAAAGCCCAGCAAATGCCTCATCACTGGGTGTTTGTTGTCCTCTCTATAAAACCAGTTCTGCTCCATGCCTAGGATGGACAAGGTAACCACAACGCCATGATGCTCGTCCAAGACTCAGAAACCAGCACTGCTCTTTTCTATCTCTTTTCCATTTCCTGCTTCTGGCTTCAGACCTACTCCTCGTCTCTCTCGTCCCCACAAAGTGCCTGTGATCACTATAGGACAAACACATTTCAAAATTCATCTGTGGCCCTGGATGTCATGAGGTTTTGACTAACTGATGTTAACACTCTCAGTTTGAGCTTCCAAGCCATTTCTGAACTGTAAATCAGAGGCTCTGAGCCTTGGTGGTTAAGATGTCAGAGCTAGGGGGCTGGGTGTGATGGCTCAAGGTTGTAATCCCAGCACTTTGGGATGCGGAGGTGGAAAGATCACTTGTGGCTAGGGGTTGGAGACCAGCCTGGGAAACAGAGCCCAGTCTCTACAAAAAAAAATAAAATCAGCCAGGCATGGTGGTGCGTACTTGTAGTCCTAGCTACTTGGGAGGCTGAGGCGGGAGGATCTTGAGCCAAGGAGTTTGAGACTGAGTGAGCTATAATGGTGTCACTGCACTCTAACGTGGTTGACAGACTGAGACTCTGCCTCTTTAAAAAAGAAAAGAAAAAAAAAAAAAAGCTGAGCTAGGATAGATCCCCACCCCACCACTTAGTAGCTTCTGGGCTTGGGTTATTTAAACTCTGTAGCCAGAGTTGCCTAAGCTGCAAAATTAGGATAGTAACAATAAGCATAACAATAGCAATCACTATATAGAACTGTTGCATACATTAAATAGGAGACTGCACGTAATGTGCTGAATGTGCACGGCATCTAGTAAGCTGCCAACAAATAGTAGTTGTCATTACTAAAACTGAGTCCACCGAGAGAGCCTTCAGGTGGCTGGAAGGGACTACAAACCTAGGACTAATCTAGCAAATAACTGGAAATTTATCTCTTCATGAGAATGATGCCTGCCTGTTGTAATACATTTCTGCAGTTATAAAGTGGAGACAGAAATGAGGGGAATTCCAGAAGGGATTTCTGGGAGCACTGATTCCATCCCTGTAGTTCTTTAAAGAGTGATGCCTTTTGGTCTGTGGGGCCACATCTTGCTACTGTCAGCAAAGCTCACACCAGGTCTGAAACAGGAAGCTTCACTTCCATCTCACCTTTACTAAGCTAACAGTCAGGAATGTTGAGGTTCCTCAGTTACACCTGCTTCCCCTGGGTGCCACCCCAGTCCCGTGCCGCAGTGACCATCCACACGCATCTCAGCCCTCCTTGCTTGGTTTTTCCCTTATAGTACTCTGCCCATCCTGCCCAGGTTTGACCTATGAAAGTTTCTCACATCTTGAACTTTAAGAGGAAGAAAGGTGTTTTCTAGGTCAGAGCCATAAATAAGAAATAATTACAGAAGCCCTTTCATATGTTAGATGTGGTAATAGATGGGACATCCCTAGTAGAAGTCCAAAGTCCTGCACAAATAGGAGAAAACTTGAACCCAAATAGAAATCTCCATGGAAACGCCTCTTGTCAACAAGTATATGAAACTTTTACAGGTGTAGTTTTCACTTGACTATTATGCAATGACTCAGGAATCCTTATACTATGTCTCACTAAGGTGTCATGCTAATAAGGGAGAAGGCGAGACTCACAACCTATAGGTTTTCTGGCAGTTTGAGACTTTCTCAGAGTTTTAAATCATTTCTCAGAGTTTTAAAATTGCTTAATTTTTAAACATTCTTCTGGCTGCTGACTCTGAGTTCATCGTGACCAGGAACTAGTTCAACACTGGGTCCTCCACATTTTGAATGTGCCTGCTCATTTGCTGAATAAATAAAACCACACACAGAGCCTCCCCTATCTTCTATTTCTCTACTTAAAGTACCTAGCACAACTGGGAGTAGACAGGAAGTCCTCCACAAATGTTAGCAGAGTTAGGGGCCAAAGTCAATATCAAGGGTAAAAAGGAAACAGCTCTAATCAAAATTATCTTTGAAAATCCCTTAAGTCAACCATAACATAGGTATATATGAATACTGAATTACAATATGCATGGCCAGGCACTGTGGCTCTTGCATGTAATCCCAACACTTTGGAAGGCCAAGGCAGGAGGGTTGCTTGAGGCCAGGAGTTTGAGACCAGACTGGGCAACATAGCAAGACCCGACCTAAGCCCTGTTTCTACCAAAAAAAAAAGCAAATTACTTAGAACAGGGCTTAATCAATGCCAGGTCCTATCAGGATTCTCATGAGCCTTATGCAGGCATCTGAGCATTCAAAACAGTCCTTAGATGATTGAATCTTGGTGGTGAACAACAATGGATGTATAATTCTAATGTTTTCTGCTTACCTGAGGGTTTATTCTTTAAAAATATCAAACCTCAATGACGTGAACACATTTAAGAGATGTGCCTGTCAATGTAAATCCTAAAAAGATAAAGCAAGTGAAACCCCTAACACATTCCAGCCTGGGCAACAGAGCGAGACTCTGTCTCGAAAAAAAAAAAAACCAACAACAAAAGAAACACCTAACGCAGGGCAGCACAGAGAGCAAGTGCTCAATCAATATTTGCTGGATTTGAATCTACAGTTTGCTTCATTAGACTCGTGTACCGAGTTCTTTGGAGAGCTGGAAAGAACTGTTTTTAAGTTGGAAATTCTTATTGTGGGGTTCTACCACCGAATGGTTGCCATTCTTTTGACCTTGGGTACTGGTCTCATGATCCGTGAAGCGGTTCTGGGTGGGCAGGAAACATGATGTAAATAAAATCCAGGTGTCGTGTGTTTTTACAGTATTCTCACCTGAAGAGTAGGAGGATGCACGACTGCTTGGAGAACAAGGTACTTGCAGCCCCGCAAACCCCAGGCATCTCTGTGATCCCCTGTCTGAGTCAAAGCTGGTCTGCAGGCTGTGCCCCTGATCCTTCTGCCCAGTGGCCCGCTGGTACCAGCCACGCAAGTGCTCGGCGACTAAGGCCTTGTGGATGTTTTTGGTGATGTGCTCCGATTTTGCGGCAGCCTTTCTTGGCAGCCGTAGAGTTGCATATGGGTTATGGGGTACCCGGTCAACCTCGTCTTCGTGAAAGGATCTGCTGTAGTCCCTCTGGCGCTCATATCCATAGTGGGCTGAGGACCGGTAGGAAGGGTTGACACTATACTGTCCCTCGGTGTCATTCTCATAGACATAACTACCACTGTAATAAAAGTCACACTCTGCATAGGGCGTGTACCCGGCAATGTAGTAACTGGAAGACGGTGGCTCCTGACTCTTTGAGTAGACACCATTCCTCAAACTATCCTTTTGTGCTAGGTTGGGCATGCTTCCTGAATTTGAAGTAGAAACATTCTGTTTCTTTGACCTCCTCCGACCCCTGGTGCGAGTGTCCAGGGTCTGGGTGGTGTAATAGGGGCCTGTAACTGGTGTCACACAGTAATACTCTGTGCTTGATTGGCTTGTATAAGAAGACCCGTCATCGAGGATTTCTGTGCTGCTGCTTCTTTGGGATTTGGAGAGGGAGAAAAATGGCTTATCGCTGTCCATCTCGGAGAGCAGGTGGGACTGGGACTCCAGGCTTCCACTCCGCTGGCGGCAGTGCTGAGAGGAAGATTCGGGTCTGAAAGAGGAGAAAGGCAAATTTGTCAACACCAAGAAGAAAAGGAGGACCCAAATAGGAAAAAAGAATACCATGCTGAATGACTGAACAGCTCGTGAATCGCAATAGGACTTTGAAGGTTGCCAAAGCTGACGGCACAACAGAACCCATTTGTTCACCAAATCTATTGGCTCACATGTAAATTCATTACCATAGTCAAAATGAGAAAAGAACCAGGTTCTGTTAGTTCCACAAGCGAAATCCTTCCTTAAGGGTAGGGAAAGACATAGACTGAGGATGCACAGTTTGCATCAGAGCCTGGAAAAAAAAAAACAAAACCAAAAAAAATCCAACGTGTCTTTGGAGGGTCCTGTCTTCCTAGAGGATATGAAGACATGGTACATTCAAGTGGAGGTCAGGGGTGTCTGGGCTGAGTCATGGCACTGCTATTTCCCAGCTGTATGAGCTCAGGCCAGATATTTAACCTCTCCGAATCTTGCTTACTCCTTTGTAAGATGATGATGAAAACAATATCTAATATCTACCTCACAAAAGGCTTGCTGTAGGGACTAAATAATCCAGTGCATATAAAACATTTAGCACAGCACTCACAAACATTTCCAAATGGTGCTATTGTTACTAACTTCATCCTCACCATTGAATAATGAATGGTAATATGTGACTGGGGAAATTAAGGTACTAAAAATCTAATGTATATTTGAACAAGTCAAATACATTTTCTTTGCCAACATATTTGAAACCATAAGTTAGCAGAAAATGTAAAACCATAAAACAAGGTCCTGCTATAGAAAGTCACTTGAAATGATTAAAAAACACAACAAAGCAAGACAGAACCTCAAAGCAAAAATCAACACAGCTAAAGCAATGAGAATGAAGCTCTCTTACTCCAAGTGGCTGCTGCTGTAGGCGTTTCGGGTAAGAACTGGCGTGGTGGGCATGCTTCGTCCGCCCTGGGGCCGCCTCTCCAGAGTTTTGTAAGGGCTGCTGTGTGTCGACAGCATTTCTCTGTGATGAGAAAAAGAATTCAGGAAATGATGAGTCTCTCAACATCTCTGGCAAACTTGTCATAAGCAGATAGGAAACTTACTAGAAGCCCCAGGAAAGGGAAAATAGGGAGAAAGATAGGAAGGGCGTCTTTGTGGTTCACTAAACCACCAGGACACTTCCTGGTCTGTTCTAGATGAGTTTCAGGGGAAGCATATATGGTCTGACTTTCTGAGTCACAAATATGTAGGGAAAGAAAGGACTTTTAATAAAGAGTACACTGAATAAAAAGACTCAAAGCAACTAGAGCTGTTTATGTAGGCACCTGAACATTCAAAACAGTCCTTAGATGATCAAATCTTGGTGGTGAACAGGGATGGATGTATAATTCAGTTCACTCCTTTTTTGTAAACAGTCTAGAATACTAAATAGTTATTGGCTTTGTGGGCCAGATGGTGTCTATAGCGACTACTCAACTCTGCCATTGCAGTGCAAAAGCAGCCATGGATAATATGTAAGAGAATGGGTGTGGCCGTGTTCCAAGAAAATGACCTATGGATGCTAAATTTCGTATCATTTTTACATGTCATAAAATATTGCTTTTGATCCCTCCACCACCAGCTACCTAAAAATATAAAAACCATTATTAGCTCATGGGCTACACAAAAACAGCAGGATGGATTTGGCCACTGGGCTGTTGTTTGCTGGTCCCTGGACTAAGAGCAACATCCTTAAATCACTATGTCTACTTCCCAGCACAGTGACAACACAATTTGAAGTTAATTTTTTCTTTTTTCTTTTTTTTTTTTTTTTTTGAGATGGAGTCTCGCTCTATCCCCCAGGTTGGAGTGCAGTGGCGCGATCTCAGCTCACCGCAAGCTCTGCCCCCCGGGTTCATGCCATTCTCCTGCCTCAGCCTCCTGAGTAGCTGGGACTATAGGCACCTGCCACCACACTTGGCTAATTTTTTTGTATTTTTAGTTGAGACAGGGATTCACCATGTTAGCCAGGATGGAAGTTAATTTTTTTTAACTAAAAGTAATTTTGATCAAATTTTACTTACTACAAAAGCAAGTCTAAGTTCATTGGAGAAAACTTTAAAAATACAGATAAAAAGAAAAATTTAAATGTCTATAATCTTTTTTTAGATGGAGTCTCACTCTGTCACCCAGACCTGAGGAGAGTGGCGTGATCTTGGCTCACTGCAACCTCCGGCTCCTGGGTTCAAGTGATCCTCCCGCCTCAGCCTCCCAAGTAGCTGGAATTACAGGTGTGCACCACCATGCCTGGCTAATCTTTTGTTTGTTTGTTTTTGTATTTTTAGTAGAGACGGGGTTTCACCATGTTGGCCAGGCTGTTTTCGAACTCCTGACCTCAAGTAATCTGCACCGCTCAGCCTCCCAAAGTGCTGGGATTACAGGCGCTCTGAGCCACCGCCTACATAATCTGATACCTTATATATAGCCAGTCAACACTAACTGTTTACAGATTATTTTTCCTAAGCACATAAACTTATAAGCATGTATCTATATATAAACATATGTATTTATTTTTTAACAAGAAAACATGAGATTTACTATATATTCTTTTTCAACACTCATTTTTTAAAAAGTTAAGTTGTATCTAACATTTTATGTTGCTTAATATTTGTCTACAGTGTTATTTTAATGACTGCATAGCATTTTATTGTATGGATTTACCATAATTATGTACTTTGTTTTCAATTTGCCATTAGTGTAAGCAAGGTTATAACGAGTATCCTACATGTAGTTAGTTGATTCGGTAGTAAAATTCCTAAACGAAATTGCTGGATCAAAGAGCAAGTCCATCGTAAGTGACTGGAGATGTGGGTACAATAATTTTTAAGACAATGATTCCCAGCTATAATTCTTCCTTTTGCTGAAATAGCTTTGTTTTCCCTAACGTAAGAAGCTCACTTGTCTCATGTTATCCAACAGGACTTTCTGCAGTGATGAAAATGTTCTGTGTCTGTTCTGACCAATATGATAGCCACTAGCCACATGTGGTTGCTGAGCATTTGAATTGTGGCTAGCATGACTGAGGCCCCAAATTTTAAATTTTATTTACTTTTAATTAAACTGGCTAGCACAGCTGTAGCTCCTTGGATCTCTTACCATTTCAGGCAAAAGTTCCTAAATGCGAATCCACAAACTGGGCTGATATGTGATAAAGTTTTCACTGGCCTTTAACAAATTAGAAATACAACAATGTGGCCAGGTGCGGTGGCTCACACCTGTAATCACAGCACTTTGGGAGGCCGACGTGGGCGGATCACGAGGTCAGGAGATCAAGACCATCCTGGCTAATACAGTGAAACATCGTCTCTACTAAAAATACAAAAAAATCAGCCGGGCATGGTGGCGGGTGCCTGTAGTCCCAGCTACTCGGGAGCCAGAGGCAGGAGAATGGCATGAACCTGGGAGGCGGAGCTTGCAGTGAGCTGAGATCCCACCACTGCACTCCAGCCTGGGTGGCTGAGTGAGACTCCATCTCAAAAAATAAAAAAATAACATAAAATAAAATAAAATAAATAAAATAAAATAGAAATATAACAATGTGTAGGTTATATTTTCATAAGTCACAATTTATCCAACTTGAATAATCTAATAATCTACCTTGATTTTGAGAATAATTTCCTTTATTTAAATTTTTTTGATTTTTATTTTTGGCCCTTGTAGAGCAAATACTTCCCATCTTTGCTGAGATGCGGTATAACATATTCAGTGAAATCAGATCGCAAGCTTTGGATCCTGCCAAGTTCTAGGCTACCTAGGTTCAAACCTTGATTCCCATGTTTACTAGCTGATGAACCCAAAGAAGTTATTCACGGTCCCTGGCCCTCAGTGTGCTTATCTGTAAAGGGTAATGACAGTAGTAACACTATCAGGGTTGTCATGAAGTTTAAATTCATTAATAAATTACCTAGGAAAAACATAAACAGTATCTGGGACACAGTAAGTACTCAATAGTGGCCAGGCGCAGTGACTTATGCCTGTAATCCTAGCACTTTGCAAGGCCGAAGTGGGCGGATGACCTGAGGTCAGGAGTTCAAGACCATCCTGGCCAACATGATGAAACTCTATTTCTACTAAAAATACAAAAATTAGCCAGGTGTGGTGGCGGGCGTCTGAGTCCCAGCTACTTGGGAGGCTGAGGGGGGAGAATCGCTTGAACCCGAAAGGCAAAGGTTGCAGTGAGCCAAGATGGCGCCACTGCACTCCAGCCTGGGCGACAGAGCGAGACTCTGTCTTGGGGGAAAAAAAAAAAAAAGTAAGTGCTCAATAGAAATGTTATATGAAGTTAATATAACATGAAATTAACATTACATTAAGTGAAATGTTAACTTCATTTGATTA